GCTTGTATCAGGCGAAGAAGGGCCAGTATGCCGTCTGTCTCAACCAGCTTATCCTCACACCCTCTCCCGTCGAACCAAAAGAAAGCCTTCCGGTATTTGTTTTGCAGGCTCAGACGGCGAAAAGCTGTGGGCTCATGAAAATTCGATGAATCTTGCTACCAGTGGCCAAGGAAGATGACACACCCTTATCACCCTCAACATCCTCTCATTCTCAGTGTTCTAAACCGTGAAACCAGGATCATATATGACAGCCATCAACACCAACCCTATTACGAAGAACTCGCGGGAGTTGGCCTACCTGATCCGGGTAACATTTTCGGTAACTGCACTTGGTGTGGAGGGAATTCGAAACGGGATTTTTCTTTTTTCTACCGATGTTCTATCTGTAACTTTTGTTTGGATCTCCACTGTTCCATGACATTTCCACTTCCTAGTATCAAAAATCCAAAAACCCATCACCATTCACTCATTTTCCTTCCTCGACCACTTTTGATTCCTTGTGATGCTTGTGGGTTGGTAGAGAGGTCTGAGCCAAGTTATGCTTGTTTCCAATGTAATTTTGTGGTCCATAAGAGTTGTGCTGACTTACCACGCGTCATAAAACTCACCCGTCACCCTCATCGTCTTTTTTACACCCCTTTTCTTTCACCCACAGTTTCCCCTTGTCGTCTTTGCTACAAGACAGTTGATGTCAAGTATGGTCATTATTCTTGCAACCATGATGACTGCTCTTATGTGGCCCATTCCAAATGTGCAACACATGAAAGAATATGGGATGGGAGAGAACTCGAGTGGGAACCCGATGAATTTGGTGAAGCTGAAGATGTTGCGCCATTCAAGAAAGTTGGTGATGATTTGATTAAGTACTTTTGTCATGATCATCATCTAAAGCTTGACAAGTATGATGGTGCTCGAGACAAGGACAAGCAATGTCAAGCATGCATCCTTCATATCGACTCTCGTGATTTCTATAAATGCGTGCAATGTGACTTTTTTCTCCACGAGGTATGCGCCAATCTTCCTCGGAAACTAGATCATGCATTGCATAATCATCCTCTTGTCCTAGACCCAGCGCCTACACAGGACTTCGAGAAGATAAGGTGTTCTGTTTGTTCTCGACTGTTCAGTGGTTTCATGTACAAGTGCTCAAAAAATAACTGTTGTGGTGGAGATACTTCCTATCCCACAGAGTTTCGGGTAGATGTTGGATGCATCTTAGTTCCTGAATGTTTCACCCACAAAAGTCATGAACATCCCTTATTCATCCCCATCCCCATCCCTGGTGGCCTAGACGCAGAGATGTGGTGTGAAGGTTGCAAGGACAGACGCACAGATTGCTTTCTACAATGCACTATATGCCAGTATTCTTTATGTTATGGGTGTGGTACAATTCCAGATAAACTTCACTACAAATATGATGCACTTCCTCTCTCCCTTTGTTATGGAGAAGTTTCAGATGAAACATACTGGTGCGAAGTTTGCGAGGGAGAACTAGATCCAAGGGAATGGTTCTATACATGCAACAAACCTTACATCACTATCCACAGTGACTGTGTGTTTGGGGATTCTGCTTATATGAAGCCAGGCTACACTATAAAGTTCTCTTTTGAACCTGTTAGTTCGGAAATTATTTGCAATAGTAGTCCCACTCGACCAATTTGCAAACAATGCCGCAGTCGCTGCTCGAGTTATGTATACTTCAAGATGTTTGGTGTGGTGAATATTTGTTCTGAAGGTTGTTTTATAGATGGATCGAGATATCAGGCACGTTATAACCTTCCTTTGTTCATGTGTCCGTGATTATTTTTCCAGCCAGACTTGTAATCCCACCACTCCTAAAGAATAAAAATCCTTTTGAATTCGATTATTATCTACAACTCTTCTTTTAGATTACCATATTATTCAGTTCCTTACAATTATGCTATATCATCACAAGATCCTGTGTTGGTTAAGAAACTGAATAGGTGTTCTAAGATAATAGGATCAATACGAAACAATAACGAAGATCAGTACATTCACAGCGTGTTTTGATTTTGAATCAGTTCATACGATGATTGTTGTATCGAAGACTTGAGCAATAGAGGTTCTGACTTTGGATAAAGAAACAAACCAACGCATCTCTATTCTAAAACATATCATCTACCATATTTTCAATTATTATCTACTGTGTATATGCAAACTAAAGGCAGCTAAATCAATCTTAGATCATTTACTATGTTGGCAGTCTTAAGAACCCAAGATCGTTACTTCTTGGTGTATCGTATTCCATTCAGGTTATTCCGCCTCAGAACGGAGGATTCTAAATCAAAGAAAGATACAAAATAAATATCTAATTTGCATCTATTATATTACTCAGGGCAAAAATTTCTCTCTACCAGTAGT